TAAGTCACTGTTTTAGGTCTCTATATGGATCAGCCCTGAGGAAGGATATCATCATGCTAAGTAGAGGGCCGGCCAAAAAGAGGAAGGTCCCCCAGAAGGAGGGTTTCATTGGCTGTAACAATCGACTCAGAGCAACAATTGTGAAGATGGTGCAGAACTGGACAGTGCTCTGCTCTGTTGTACACAGGATCGCTGTGAGTCAGTGACTAGAGGACACTAACAACAACAACAACCATCGCAGAAAATGCCATCCCTAACTTCTATGTTCACTATAGTGTCTTTCCTATTATAAGAACCAAAGACCTTTAAAAATGGTTAAGTAATAAGTGACTCGGATTCACTTCCTTATTAAAATGTGTATATGCATCTAGATGAATACAGATAGTTATCAGATCACACTGATGACTTACCATCACCCTCAGAATAGATGTAAGCTCTTTACCAGGCCAACTAGGCCGTTGCTGATCTGGCCCTTCTATCTCTCTCAACTCATCTCCCACCACAAACTCCTGCACGCCCTCCACTCTCCACTTACACACTCAACTCCAGGCACACGGGCCATCTTGTTACCTGACAAGACAGACTTGATGCTGTCTAGGGCCCTTGCATTTGCTACGTCTTTTGTGTGGAATGCTCCTTCCTCATCCCTTAGGAGGCTTGCTTCCTCACTTCTTTCAGGTCTCTACTCAACTGTTGCGGCCTCTGAGAAACCTTCCTGGACCATTCTACGTAAAACAGTCTTTCTGCAGCTCCTCTAGTTGCCCTCACACTCCCCTCAGTCTCCTTACCCTGCTCTATTATTATTATACTTTACATTTGTTTGCTTAGTCATTGTCTGTCTGCTCCTTTGAGTGGAACCTCCCTTAGGGCAAGGACTTTACCTTTCTTCCTCTGTGCCTGGTACACAGCAGAGCTCAACAGACGACTGATGAAAAAACACTAAAAAAGACTAACGAGTGTGTTAGTTAGCATGTGACGGGCCACTACAACACACACTGAACTGCGGACTCCGGGCATCTTTGAGAAAGAGTGAAAAGGAAGGTGGGGAGTGACTTTCACATTTTGCTCTGCACTTTTTCTTATGTTAAAAAAGACAAAACTAAAAAAAAAACTGGCTGAACTTAGGGAGAGTCATTTTGAAACAGACAATATAATAAATATGACCAATGACACTGAATTGTCCATGTAAAAAAAAAAACCCACTGAATTTGCAAATCTTTTGTTATATTTTACCCAAATAAAACATTTTTTAAAAAGACAAAATCAACTATAAAACATAAGGCAGGAAAAAAGTTTAAACATAATTAGAAATATAAGCCTATTCACAGAATCATAAAATTTTAAAGCTCACAGTGACCTTCCAGAAAACTTACTGCCATGAGTCATTTCTGACTCAGAGTGACCCTAAGACTAGGGAGAAACGCCCCTTTAAGTCTCCAAGCCTATATAACTTTATGAGAACAGTCAGCCCCAACTTTCTCCAGAGGAGCAGCTGGTGGTTTGAACTGATGGCCTTGCAATAAGCAGTTCAATCGTAACCCACTATACCACACAGTGACTTTAGGAAGTTTTAAAACCATAGGTCTTCAATACCAAAGGTACAAACAACGAAAGAAAAAAATAAATTTATTTTTTTAAAGCAATAAAAATGTTTATGTGTCAAAGGACTTTATAAACAAAGTGAAGAGACAACCTACAAAATGAGAGAAAATAAACTATTTAGAAACCAAATAGCTAGTTGATAACTTTCATAACCATATTCAAAATTTCTGATTCAACAACAAAAGTGCAGGCAACCCAATTTAGAAATGAGCAAATGCCTTGAACAGGCATTTTTCCAAAGAAGAAATACAAATGTCCAGTAAGCACACGGAAAGATATTCAACATCATTAGCTGTTAACAAAATTTAAATCAAAACCACAAGAAGATAGCACTTCATATCCACTGGAATGCTATTAGAAGAAGAAAAAGCAAAATAACAAGTATTGATGAAAAGATGAATAGCTGGAACTCTTCTACAAGGTTGATGACAAAGTTCTCACCAGATACTGGGGAAAACAGTTGGTGTTTCCTCATAAAGTTAAGCACAGAATCAGCATATCAAGCAGCAACTGTGCTCCTAGGCACGGAATATCCAAAACACTTGAAAGAAGAGACACAAACAGACAGAATGCTCATTGCAGCATTAATTACAACAGCCAAAAGTAGAAATAGCACAAGCAAGTATTCACCAACAAGTGAACAGATAAACAAAAGGTGCTATATAGCCTGGGAGGTTTAAACAACAGACCTTGTGGTTAACAGACTGCACCACCAGGGCTCCTGGAACATTCTTTAGCTATAAACAGAAATGATGCTTTGATACATGCCACATCATGAATGACCCTGCGTAACATTATGGTGCATGAAATAACTCAAGACACAGAAGGATCAATATTATTTAAGCCCTCTTAGGTGAAGTATCTAGAATAGGCAAATGAACAGAAAATAAAGTTTACTAACAGTTACCTGGGGTTCAGGGAAGAAAAAGATGGGGAGTTGTATTAGTCTAGGTACTTTGGAGAAGCAAATCCACGGTGACTCACGTATAAGAGAGA